CTCCATTCACAACAGGTTAGGACAAAACATTTTAAACATTTAAGAAGATTTATCAAAGTAAAACATCTGTTTCCTCGTTCAACACCACGCCTCAGGCTGAGAAAAACACGCTTAGCAAAAACTCACAAAATCTAATAAAGTACTGAAAACCTACAGGACACATAATGTAATAATAAAATCCATGGTGGGTTCATATATGAGTGTTTAATGTCTCTGAGCAGCTTTAGAGTCAGATATTTATGCCACAGTTCAAGGGTGTCAGAAGTAACACCAAATGAAATGTTTGACTTAGTTTGTTATTTTATTTGAACCCAGTGGTTCATTTCTGAAATGTTGGAGAATGAATCAAGTTCTGTTTGATGCAGAAAATAATAAAACATAAAACAAATTCTACACTTCCAATAATATTTAAGATGTGTGTTTTATTCTTTCTGGTAATAACACCAGCAGAAGGCTGTGGGCTGGATTAGGATTAAATTACCCAGCTGATGGATCAGCTTCACTAACCAGCTAACTACAAACCTTTCCACTAACCCTCACCATGTAACCCTCATGTCCATGCTGTCTCTGGAGGAGCAGATAGGACACAAGACCTCCTGTAACTTAAAATGAACCAAAGCTTCCTCCCAGTTTCTCTTTAAGCTGAATTTAACTTCAGTTTATCATCATGAAACAAAAGAATAAAGTGGAACAAGAACTTCTATATTCTATTCCTCTCTCGTTTTAACTTCTCCGTGTCCCTAAATAAAGGAGACAGGCGATTACGCTGCAGCCGCCATCATTGACCCCGCCCCCTCCCCAAGATTGGATCTCCCAGCATCTCAACACTTGGTCTGACTGAGCGCTTCCAGGAGAAATAATAATTACATTATGAAAATAATAATGTGTGTTTGGAGCATCGGTTTGGAGGTGCATCCTCCGATCCTCCCTCTCTCCCTCTCTCAGTTGTTGTGCGAGCGAGCGGAGCGCGCTGCAGGACTACCCGCTCAATTAACATAATTCACTGCCCAAATCCAACAGAACCGGTCGGGCTGATTCAGTTCCGGTTCGGTCTCAGGTTACAACTCTAGCGCTCAGCCCTGCAGTACCACATTAAGGCGGAACCACTTGGTAAATGTGGAGGATGCTCACTCTGACAGATTTGGATGCTGCGCTGGTGCCGACGTTAAAAAAACAAAACTACATTCCACTATAATCAATTATGGCGTACTCTTCTACGATGCAGAATCGTTTATGTCCGCATCCCGATGCATCGATTATTTGATTATTTTCCTCAGCTCTAGTTTAAAGTACGTTTGACAACACATTTGTTTTCTCTGGTGTTTAGTGACAAACAGTAGGTTGCACCTTTTAATGTTGTCTTTTACGCATTTAGGTCTGTTCTTCGGTACTTTAATGTCTCTTATTTTAGCTTCTAGTTTTTGGTTTCATGAATGTTTAGATGTTAACATGGTTTCATTCTTTTAGTTTCCTGAATGTTTTATTGTACTGTTCTGTGCAGCAGTTTGGGGCAATGGCTGTTGCCATGGAAATGTGCTTTACAAATAAAGTTTCACTTGACTTTTATAAGATGAGCCATTTCAAAAATTCTCTGATTATGAAATAAAGGGACATTAGCATAGAACCCCCACTCACCCTCCAGGCTGGAGAAGTAGCGGCTCCAATATCTACTCCCGATATAGGAGCTTCTCAGCTTATAGCAGCCTGAGTGGCGGTTGGGTGGACGTGGCCAGCTCTAGCTTGTTTTCTTAAAGTGTCAGAGCCACTGATAACACAAGGAGACATAGGACTGGGCAAATCTGGTGTTTTTAAAATAATTCAACATGTTTTCAAACACGACATGAGGTCAAGTTTATGTCGATGTAAATATACAACCGGTAGCTCAGTGGCCTAGTGGTAGAGTGTCCGCCCTGAGCATGGGATTTCAGGGTTCCATTCCTGGTCGGGTCAGACCAAAGACTTTGATAAAATGGGACCCAATGCCTCCCTGCTTGGCACTCAGCATTAAGGGTTATATTGGGAGGTTAAACCACCAAATGGTTCCCAAGCGTGGCTGTGTCTGCAGCTCACCGCTCCCCTGGGTCAAATGTGGAGAACAAATTTTGCACATACTTCAGTGTGTGTGACAACTAGTGGGACTTTATCTTAATATCACCCAGCCATGAAGTAAAATTAAAATGCATTTCTTAGTTTGATGCCTTACAGTGTTTCCTGAATGCATCATCAACACTAACTTCTGGATAGTGTTGAGTCTGCAGCGTCTCTTCTGATTCCCATTCTAAATGGTTCTGGGTTGAAGCAATTCTTCCTCCTACTGTGGACTCTCATCTTCATTGCCATGAGGTTCCAAGGTTGGACCTTGTCAGTAAAGTGATGGCTAGACTCATTACTGTGATAAGACTATGTCCTGTTTCTTAAGAGTGGGAGGGTATTGTTAATAAAGCAGGAAGTCCCATGCTTACCTCACAGGGTGCGGCGTATCTGTTTGTATACTTGGCGTCAGAACTCACTCCCTTAGAAACAGATAACCTTTTCTAACTTTCACTTTCTTCGGTTACCTGCAGATAGACAAAGGTCTTTGCTCGAATAGTTATCAGCTTCTTTAGAACTCAGCAAAGCTGGGTATCTTTAGATTTGTATTCCATGCCAGTACTTTTAACAGTACCTGGTTTTTGATACTGGTACGCTCAGTCTATGGCAGTGGCAGATCAGACAGTCGGCAGAGTAAGTGACAGAGTGATGGCGAGAGGGTTAATGATGTTCAGAGAAAATGCCCAAAAGTTAGTAGTGGGCACATTTTAGGGATGTACGTTTACCAAAATTTCTTTAACCGGCTATTGACGCTCCTTAACCATTAATAGCCAGATAACCGGAAACCAATCAACCCCCCACCCCCCCCACCCAGAATGTCTGTCAAACTCAGAACTTGTTGCACAGCGGACTGTCTGGTATCAAATACATTACACCCCAGTGCAGCAGAAGAACCTGTTAACTACGTACATCCCTAGCACATTTTAGACTTCAGCTAACGGACCATACAATGAGTAGAAAAGTTATTTTCTCTTTGTGGGGCCGTTTTAGTGTAACAGCAATGAAGCAGATTCACAACAGGAACTAAGACAGGTAAACAAATAAGTAGGTGCATCCCTACTTACCACTCAGCTTCCAGGATATTCTGGTAAAATCCAGACTATAAATGAATGTCAGAGAGATCCACAGCTTGTGGTCTGGCCCGGTACTTTCCTTCATTCTTAATCTGGAACCCTTCTACAAGCAACCTGTCTTTGCTACACACTCATTCTTAATTCACCACTTAAGTGGGGACTTTTTTTCCTTTGTTAAAACTTTATTGAACAACCGAACAGTACACAAAATAGTACACAGAACATGTGCAGGGGTGTAAAAATATCAAATTATTTATATGTAATGCAAATATTAATAGTTTTTAAAGGCCTTTTTATTAAAAGATCTGTTAATCAATGTTAGTTTCAGTTTCACTTGTCTCTCTTCAAACCCCCAACACACACACACACACACACACACACACACGCACGTACGCACGCACACACACACACACACACACACATCACAGCTTGTGTGTTGTGAGTGGAATGGAGGTGCTGCTGTTTGCTCGGACGATAAAAGCAGAGCTGGCTGACTCTTAGTTCCTTATTCGTGTTGTCTTAAATAGCACTTCCTGGAACTGTTGCATCTCCGTGCTGTTGATGCTTACAGTTGTGATTTCCAGCAGTGGGACACCTGCAGCCTCTCTGGTGGCACGAGGATGATGGTCCTTAGGGACATGGGACTTGGAGGGCTAGTGTGAATGCAGACACAGAACTACAGCCACCTCTCCTGGGGTGACTGGCACCAGAGGAAATGAACTGTGTCCCTGCTCTCGCTCTTGAACATTTGTTTTTAGGAGGGTTGAGTGTTCAGCCCCAGCAGAACAATGTGGAATAATTTGCCTGACATTTCTTGGCCTTATTTGGCAGCAGCTGATAAAGTTGATTCTGTTGTAGCCAAGCTACACAGGATATGATGTCATCAACACTGGCCCTGAACTCCTCACAAGCACAGACTTCCCTGGGTCTGATGTCATTCATATGGTTCTGCTGCTGTGTTTGGGATATTTAAATAGTTACTAAATCCATATTATTTGTATAAAGGAACGTGCTGAAGGTTTAGTTTCCAGGTCACAGATCTGAAAGCTGGTGTGAGCTGCTCTTCAGTCATCAAGTCGGTCATGAGATGACTGCTGATTAAAGGGCTGCTGCAAGGCCTGCAGCCAGGTTTGTCACTAAATCAGCAGACTGCCTTCTAATTTTCATGCTTTGACTATTGTTAAAAGAATGAAAGGAGGGGATGTTCAGAGTTCAGAAGGTTAACTAAAGTATTTTACTGCATTTACTCTGCAAGTGTCCCCAGAACGCAGATGTAACTCCTGCAGTGGTTCATCTGTTACTCCAACAGATCACGGCTGGGTAGTCGTTTGAGAGTAGGTTACATGCTGCAAAGAGCCAACCGTGCTGAGAAAACAAAAACATCATCTTTGTCTTTGTTGGACAACACCCATGCTGCAAGTGTGGTTCACACCTGCAAACAGAAAATCCAGCAGATGCAAAACCAGAAACCTGTAACCCCCGCCTGTGTTTAGAACAACCTCAACGGCTCCACAAAGCGCACAACCAAACCTGGCCTAAAAACATCGTTATAGCTGCTGTAATAATATGTAAAACTGATTTAACCACAAACTGGAGAGGAAGTCCAAAAACACCTGGAAAAGAGCCTGTTTTTAGTTTCTCTGTTGTTGGAATGTATTTTTCCCAAAAGCAAATGTGTTTAGTCCTTAGATTTAGTAGTGCAGCTGTCAGAATAAGAACATGATTTTTTTTTGTTTGTGTAAAAATCATGAACGAAATGCCAGCAGCCAGCATTGATTGGAAACACATCCGTCTGTTTTTTAGATTTTATAGAGTTTTATCCTTTTTTTTTTGCAGATCTATCAAAGAACCGACTCGCCGACGTCCCCTCAGAGGTCTGCCACCTGGTTGCCTTGGAGACACTAAACCTTTATCACAACTGCATCAGGACCATCCCAGATAGCATCATCAGTCTGCAGTCACTCACGTCTTTAAACCTCAGGTACACACACTTGACATCTCGGCTGTTCTTGCAGTGTGATAGGGATTTCTTCTGTACCAAGGAGACGGTCGTCTTCCTTTAGGTCTCCTCCCAGTTGGACGTGCCCGGAAAACCTCACCAGGGAGGCATCCTAACCAAATTCCCAAGCCACCTCAACTGGCTCCTCTCAATATGGAGGAGCAGCGGGTCTCCTCCGAGCCCCTCTTGGATGACCGAGCTTCTCATTCTATCTCTAAGAGAGAGCCCAGCCACCCTGCAGAGAAGTTTTATTTTGGCCGCTTGTGTCTGCGATCACATTCTTTTGGTCACTACCCAAAGCCCATGACCATAGGTGAGGGTAGGAACTTAGATGGACCAGTAAATCGAGAGCTTCGCTTCCCCCCAAACCTTGGCTGCGCCTAGAAATCCTGTCCATAAAAGTTATGAGCAGAGTCGGTGACAAAGATCAGCCTTGGCAGAGTTCAACTCTCACTGGAAACTAGCGCAGCTTACTGCCAGCAATGTGGACCAAGTCCTGACACCGGTCCTACAGGGACCTAATAGCCCGTATCAGAGGGCCTGGTGCCCCATACTCCTAAAGTGCCCCCCACAGAGCCCCCATGGGACGCCTAGGTTGTCTGGGTAACCTAGTGTGACAAAAGGATGTATACTCTGTATTGAGACAAAGGTAACACAAATGCGTTTATTAAAAAGAACAGACACAAAAACACATAAAGTCAAGAACACTGAAAAATGTGATCAGTGGCAACAAAAACTTGGAAACACCATTTAACCTCTAATTAGTCAAATTAATACAAAATATCCCGAAAGATAATCACAGTAGAGATTTCTCCACCTTTGATGAGTCGTAATTACAAAAGAAGCGAGTGCAAGTGGAATGTTTGTAAAAAATTAATCTTTTTATTCACCCCTGAAATGTACAACCTCGGAAACGCAATAATTTAAACGCCCTGCGAGAGAGAGAGAGAGAGAGAGAGAGAGAGCGAGAGAGCGAGAGCGAGAGAGCGAGAGAGAGAGCGAGAGAGCGAGAGAGAGAGCGAGAGAGAGAGAGAGAGAGCGAGAGAGAGAGCGAGAGAGAGAGAGAGAGAGAGAGAGAGAGAGAGAGAGAGAGAGAGAGAGAGAGAGAGAGAGAGAGAGAGAGAGAGAGAGAGAGAGAGAGAGAGAGAGAGAGAGAGAGAGAGAGAGAGAGAGAGAGAGAGAGAGAGAGAGAGAGAGAGAGAGAGAGAGAGAGAGAGAGAGAGAGAGAGAGAGAGAGAGAGAGAGAGAAAAAGACATCTCACACAACACAGTCAGCCTGCCCCTTATTCAGATGGTTGAAGGTTTGCGCCGTGCTTCCATCAGTGCACCTGGAGTGTTTGGTAGGGATTACACTGTGCCTGCACACATTCATGGGATGTTTGCATGTGTGTGTGTTGGGCTGCAGGGTCAACTCTAAAGCATGTCACTGACACACTCTGCTGCTCTGTGTGATGGTACGTTTAAAGGTCAGTGTGCCCCTGCTGCTTCTACTGTCCACATCTGGCTGCCTGAAACAGTTCTGGTACCAGCTGTCAGTCGTGTGTGTGTGTGTGTGTGTGTGTCAGCAGTAATAAATCACAGGCTGGTGGTGAAGGACTTTGCTTGGAAGTACAAAGTTTTGTGCAGAGCTTAATGTTCTGGAGTTATTTATGGAAACTGTCTGGTAGGAAACATTTAGATGGTGTCCTCTAATCATTATGGTTCCTAAGTCTTTGTCAAATTTAGGATTATTTTCATCAGCCAGTCATCTGATAAAAACTTGCACTTTAAACATGTGTTTCTACTTTAAAGGCCAGTTTAATCTGTTTTACTGTGTGTTTCGGGTGAGTTGGCTGACACAGGGCTCCATCACGTACAACTGATGTTACTACATGTGGGCAGATGCTTGTTGTGTAAGCTCTCAGCTGTCTGCTGTGTCTTTTCACTCACAAGCTCCTGAGATCATTGGCAGACTTTTACTCTGTCGTTGTTGCAGCTGGAATTAGGATGTTTCATCTCGGTGGAAAGGACTCCAGGATGATGTCTGTCTGTGCACAGAAAACTGTGATGCAACTACTACGCTATCAAATAGGGCTGTGTTGAAAAAATCCATTCTCCGATACTGAATCATGAGGATCGATTTGTACGGCCAAAAATCGATTTAACCCTTTAAGCACCAAAGTGTAATTGCTGACTTTAACAAGCCACAGCTGCAAATATGATCACTCATGAAGTTACTACTTTACACTAGAAGATAGTGGAAAGGTCTATCTTCAGTAGTCTGAGCAACACTTATTGGTGTGTTCATAGTGAAAGTTTGTGAGTTTTTAGAGCTTGAAAATCGGTTACTGGAGAGGACGAGAGGAGGAAGAAACGCAGCACACGTAGGTCTGGTCATTGTTGACTCTCTTTGTCCAGTAATGTCTGACTCTGATTCAGAAGAAGAATATGGTCTCTTTGATGAAGATATTCACTCGTCCAGTTAGAAAGGGTGATGCTGCTACACGGAGCAACAGAGAGTCTGTGCTGCACATAGGGTTGTCACGGTGTGAAAATTTAACCTCACGGTTATTGTAACCAAAATTATCATGGTTGTCGGTATTATCGCGGTATTTTTTTAAACATGTTACATTTTCAAAATAAATCCTGTATATCAGGAAAATATTGTCCTCAGTTTGTGTCTAACTTTTGCCTAAAATGTGTTATTTTGTAATTATGTTGTTTATTTGTTTAAATTTTTTCCCTTTAGTCTTTAAAATAACAATATTTGCCCATAACTTCTTATTTTTTGTCTGTTTGATGTCATCATTTTAAAAATATTACATCAGTTGATACTTAGTACTCAAGTAGCCTTCTAATCAGATACTTTTTTTTACCCTTACTTGAGTAACAAACCCTATATTAGGAAAATATTGTCCTCGGTTTGTGTCCTTCCAGTGAGCTTTGCAGATGTGGGGAAATGTCATCAGGCAGTAATCGTTGTTAAATTCATAATTATTCTCGGAGAGAGACCAACTCTTATCTGCCCCTGCGAGCCCCGTAATGCATAGCGTCATTTCAGCATGGGGGTGTCCGCGACACGGTTTATATGCAGGTAGCGGCGCTGCGGCTGCTTTATATAGCGACTCGTTGCATTCTCCCTCAACCCAAATCCTCAGATCACGCATTTTAGCTAAAACGCTAACGTTAGCTTGCCTTGCGTTGACTGTAGAGTTGTGGGTGATGGTCACGCAGATGTGTCATGAGATTTGAAGCGTTGCTGCCTTTCACAGACACTTTTTCTGCACGTGCTGCAAACAGGATAGTCGTCTTCTATAAACTCCCTTGGCATTCTTCAAATATCTAAAATATGCCCGTACTTCCGACTTTGTCTTCTTTGAGGGATAATAAATGTCCTGAGCGCTGCCATCTCCTCCTTTGGCCATTATTTCAGCATTAGCTTCAAGAAAGTTTTGGCCGTAAACAACAAAGCGCGCATGTGCCGCCGGCAACTTCAGCAGATGATACGGTGGCTGGTAAGGGTCACGATGCCTACACCGTAGCCACAGTAACCCACCGAGATAATATATATTTTTTAAAACGAGACGGTTATTATTATTGTCAACATTTTTACCGGGGTTTACCACTACACTGGTTACCGTGACAACCCTAGCTGCACATTTAAGAAAATTGGTTTAAAAGCGGAAGAACAAGAGCCGAAGTTAGTCACATTGTGATTTTAAAACAGAACACGAACACCACATTCTGACTTTGTTTAATAAAGTTTTATCAAGTTCTGGTTATTATGGGTTGTTGTAGGTGTGTAGTTGAAATGTGTGACCTCTGTGAGGTTTTCTGGTACGAACAGTACCATGTAAGTGCTACAGTAAGCTCTTCCGATCATCCGCACAACTCTATGGCACCTACTACAGATGTGTAGGAAGCGTTTGTAGCTATATATTGATAACATCTCTTTAGGTGGAAACTCTATGTGTTTATTGTGTGTTACTGTAAATGACGTTCATTTATTTTACGAGTTGAGACCTAGATGTGAGTGCTGTGCTTCCATAGTTTCTCTGGTATTTTCCATTTGACAGAGTGCATTGTGTGGTGATGGCGACTGTGTTTGTGTTGCAGTCGGAACCAGCTTGGCTCTTTGCCAGTCTGTCTGTGTGGTTTACCTCTCAGAGTCCTGAACGCCAGTAACAACAAGCTGGTGAGTCTGCCAGAGACCATTGGACAGCTTCACAGCCTCATGGAGCTGGTGAGTGGATATCAACTCAGGACAATCCTTTTCGAGTCTCTTCCACCTATATGTGGTTGCTGTCTGCCCCCTACAGGACATCAGCTGTAATGAAATCACAGCTCTGCCTCGACACATCGGCAGACTGAAAGCTTTACGTGAACTAAACGTACGGCGAAATCTTCTCTGCGTCCTGCCAGAAGGTGAGTTGCTGAACTTTTAACAACTAGACAGAATTTCTGCAAACTGCAAAACTGGTGGCTATTGTAGAAAAAATTTTTTCCATCACACCAAGGTGTTTTGTTTATCTTAAGTCATGTGTTCTTGATTGTGTGATTATGCTGTGTGAGCCAAATAGCCTAGCCTAGCAAGCCATCCTATATATGCATAAACAGTCTACCTAAAACCTATAGACAGAGCCCAGTTGTGGGGCAGTATCTGTTGTCTTTCAAACTGTCTCTGCACAACCATTGGCTAGCACTAGGACCAATCAGAGCAATAAAAAACGTGACCTATTCATTGCTACGGAAACCATTCAGTGGGGCAGAAATAGAAGCAGCAAATGGAAGCTAGAGGCTGACCGATATTGTTTTTTTCTAGTACCGATAGGCGGTCGTGGTCAGCTGATGGCCGATAAGTGCTGCTGATTTTTTGGGCCGATTTCATGGCCGATATCTCGATGTTTGGCTCCTAGTCAGAATGCTTAATTATCACCAATAACAGCTGTGGATGCACAAGATTTCTGAAGCTAAGCAGTTTTTAACTGAATTTAACCAACTGTTTAATCTTAATTTTAGGGCTGCAGCTATCGAATATTTTTGTAATCGAGTACTCTATCGAATCTTTTTTCGATTAATCGAGTACTCTATCGAATCTTTTATCGATTAATCGAGTATTCTAATAAATTACCCTTTTGTGTTTGTAAACCATTATATCAAATAGCAGGTTATAAAATATGAAAGACCTGTTAAAAGGAGCAAGCAATTGCCAGTTATTCTTCAAGTTTTATTCAAAATGAGTTTTCAAAACTTCAGCACTTCAACTTTACTTCACAGTAAACAAATGCGAGCAGCTGTGGCCCAAACAGCACCAGAACCGCTCACAGCGCATGCGCAAATATGTCTCACCAGCTATTTCCCTATTAACACACGTCCGCTATAATTTCTACACTTTTTTTCTCACACAATAACAAGGATTGTCGAGAAAGCATGTTTGCCGTGGTTATGTGAAATTATACTGATCACAAAACATTTATTTACAACATTTCATTTTCCTCCGTCACTCATAAATACCTGTGTCCTCCTGCAGCAATCCCGAGGAAGAGACATCAATAACACAGTAAAAAGTCTGACGTGTTGTTAGGGCTGGGCGATATGACGATTTTAGACCATTTTACGATCTACACATCTGACGGTCTGTCATTTTTGAGAGACCGTTTTATCACGATTCACAGCTGCTGTTGAATTTCTGCCTCTGAATGAAAAGGGAACTTACCCCAGGCGAATGACACGCCTTTGTTTGACCCTTAACCAATCAGAGTGAGTCATAGTAATATTAATATATTAGTGCCCCGCTTGTTTTCACCTTCACCTGTGTGTGAACAAACATGGCTTCGCCGCGGCTGAGCAACAACGAGGTTTTCGTTCCAAAGAGGAACGCAGGGTTTCCTTAGCGCGCAGCGCTAACAACTTAGTGACGTGACACGTCTCGGAGAAAGCGTAAAAACACGTTGGACGCTTCTTCTGAAGCAGGAAAATAACACCGCTTCTTAAGCAGAGCACGACGACGCCTCGGCTTGTCCACCCTCTGCCGAGCCGGTGTCGGTACCGTACTGAGCTCGGTCACTGGGTCGATGGAGCTGCCCCGTGACTGCCTGATGGAAAACCAGCGGGTTTCATCAGACTCGTAGTTTCTTGTTTTTGCTGGGACCCCCTGTATTTTACCGCTCCCTCCTGCAGTCTTCCCCTATTAACATTTAAAATGATTCTGTAAACTCCGTGTGTCAATGGAAACAATCTCTGCCTCTGCCAGCTGCAGTAAATGTAGTTTCCAAATAATAAATAAGAGGTGCATTCATCTGTGTATCTCCTTTGATCCGCCTTAGTGATATTCTCAGCACCAGAACAATGAAGCAAAGAAACAGATTCCTGAGTTTGTTAGTAATTTTATTTATTAGGTGCATCTAACCTGTTCTATTTTTCTCTGAAATGAGATCAAATCAGTGCTTCTATGGGTTGTCTCCAATCTGCACTGGAAAATTTTTACTTTATTTAGAGACTTGTTGCAGAAAATATTCAGAATGCGCAGTTATTTGCTACCACAAGCGATCTCTGGTCCAGCCGCACATCAGAGCCGTATTTGAGCTTAACTATCCACTACATGAGCAACTGGGAGCTACATAGTATTTTGAACAAGTTAATGTTTGCACAATACGTTTGCAATTGACATGTTTGCACTTTAAATATGTTTACGATTTTAATTTATGTTAAGTTACTTGAAAAATGAGAAAAACTGATTTTTGTAATTGCGTCTCTCAGGGCTTTTATCATCTCTGGTGTGAGTTTAAAATATAAGTGTGTTAGCACTGTGTTGATTATCCCTAATATGAATAAATGTTTATTTATTCAATGTTTCTCTTCTTTAATACGCAATTGAAGTTATGCTATTCATGGATAAAAAATCGTGATAAAATCGAAATCGTGATAAAATATTGGAAAAATCGTGATATTTTATTTTTGCCATATCGCCCAGCCCTACGTGTTGTGTAAAAACTGCTACTTTTAGCACATTTTAAGTCCGACGTGTTGCTACCATATGCACAGCGTGAGCTGAAACTGAGTGCTACAAATGAAAAATCGCACAGTGTCCGCAGAATATATAGAAATACAGGCTAAAATGCATTATCTTGTAGAGGCTCCGAGTCCACTTGCAGAAGTGACATTTACACGTGGATGTTTCCTGGTCAGGTGCTGCAGCATGGAGGATGTGGTGTTGTGGTAGGCTAAATCCATTTTACAGTATTTACACTGGACTACGTTTTCCTCCTTGGTTCCACACCTTTGACATTTTCTGTCTTTTTCGCACTCCACCGGGGTCCACGTTGTCCGCCATGGCTTAAGAGAAAGTTAAGTTACATTCGCTAATCACGTGTGTATGTGCGCCACTTATTTTGGTCCGGGTGAAACATGACCCCGGGCGATTGCAAAGCCATGAATTAATTAAACATGAATTAAACGAATCCTCGAGGCAGAGAATTTGACTCCAGGCTTTTTTTTTACTCGAATTATTCGAGGTACTCGAGGAACAGTTTCAGCTCTACTTAATTTTGTGCACTGCTCAGTGGTAAAATCAAACATTATAACAAGATTAATAAAAAATACCAATAAACTGACCATGTCCACATTTACATGTAAGTAAAAATAAATGCACCTTTAGTGTTGTTACCCTTTGCAGCATCCAGCTCACCAGCCTCCTGCTAATATCACACCCTCCTTTCCTTGGTTTGGTTCCATGACTTGCTGCCATACTGGATGCGACTTTTGTTGAGCCATCAGACAGAAACTAAACAGCAGAAACAGTTGTTAGTGTTTGTATAGAGCAGTGGTTCCCAAACTTATTTAGCCGCGCACCCCCTTCTATGTCCCGACCATGTCGACGTACCCCCCCCCCCCCCCCCCCCCCCCGCCCCCACATCGGGGCATGGCTCTATCAGATGTCAAGCTAAACAGACAGGGTTAAAAAAAATTCCCCATCACTTTCATTTTTTAAATAGTAATTAATAAACATTCGATACCATTACAATTTCCTTTGATTTCATTTTAAATAAATATTTAGAGTGCCCAGGTAGCACATAAACAATGCAATTTAACGGTTTTCTTAAAATAGGAACGTTTAGCCTGTGCGGCCAGAGCGCTCTCCTTCCTTCTGTTCTGCGTAAACCTGAGCTGATCACCTACTTGTGCGTAATCAAATGTCAATAGGGGACAAGATATAGCCATGATGTTCACTTTTACCTCAGACCGACTTATTGCTGTTTTATGGTGTGGCTGAATCTGCGATCCGCTGTCATGCGGACTGTAATGACAAATGCTGCAGTAACAGGAGTTGTGGTCAGGTTCATGAGGAGTCACTGGCTGGAGCGGACCCGACTCATCCCAGAAGCTAATATCTTAATTTGACCTTGAATGAAAAATAACCTCTTAAAAGTTTTTATCACGGTGGAGGCAGCGTTCATTTCTGCCTTCAGTCTGACGGCGCGCCGGAGTTAAAGCAGCGTGTGCGCTTATTGAATCTGTGTGCGTGTGTGTGCGCGCGCGCGGCTCAGCCGCTCAAGTCACCGCGTCTCGCGCTATTTAAACCAATGTTGTAAAATGACTTTTGCCCAGCCCAGATGTGCTCACTTGTGCACCCGTGAGCCGTGGTTCAGCCGGAACACGTCTGACCTCTGACAGACACACTCTGAACTTCAGATCTTCAGCGCGCTGTCAATAGCCTGAATGGGAATCATTTCTTGTTATTTAGTTACATCCACAATGTTCAGTGTGTGAGGTTTACAATGTCAGAACACCTGCATGAGACAGGTGTTAATTACAATCTGCCAGAATGACTCACCACCTTCAGATTCCTCCAACACCGTTAAAAATGATCAAATACGGAACATATCAGCGTGCGCAGGCCAGAGTGCTGAAGCTCGGCGCATTTTTATTATGAAGCTAGGGCACATGTGGAGGACACGCGCGCGCAAAAATATACTTGTTTTCAATTACATTTATTGTGCCCACTTACTTTTTCTTTGGCCCACCCACAAATGAGTTTCTACGCTAATGGTGACATATGACAGACTTCTCTGAGCTCCGCAGCCATTACACTTTTCACCACCGCACCACACTTTGGGAATCCCTGGTATAGAGCATCCATCTTCAGTTCAGTCTGTAACAGAAAGAGCAAAGGAGAACTCAGCAAATTAGTCTATATGATAAATATTAGAGAAACGTTTAAACAACAACACTCATCTATTAATAAAACTGCACCCTAACTATTCACTAGTGTTCCTGGCTGTTGATGTTAGATTGTACGTGGAAATGAAGCGTGCAAATGGAAAATAGTCTTAATTCCGAACACGTCTCTGCCGTTTCTGATCACAGATTACGCGATAACCAGAAAAAAACACAAGAGCTTGCATTTATATAGCGATCATTTTCTG